CGCTTCTTCTTCTACTATATCTCTGTGTATAAACCACTTCTTCTTCTACTATATCTCTGTGTATAAACCACTTCTTCTTCTACTGTATCTCTGTGTACAAACCACTTCTTCTTCTACTATATCTCTGTGTATAAACCACTTCTTCTTCTACTGTATCTCTGTGTACAAACCACTTCTTCTTCTACTATATCTCTGTGTACAAACCACTTCTTCTTCTACTATATCTCCGTGTATAAACCCGGCAGACTGCACCGCCAGGATACGTCATGTTCTGTCCCACGTTTGTTATTCACTGCCCTGACGTCATAGGACACCCAAGAATTGTACAGAAACCGTGCCTTACCATAATTATGTGGTTAACCCTATGGAACTTTAAAATCTGAACTTTTCCCTTGTCTCTCTGTGATTTCTGTAAAGTTCCGAGTCTCGGTCTTGTTTCTGAGGCTGTATTCAAACAGAAACTGCAGCTCACGGTTTAGAACATGTTGAAGGTCTTTGGTTTTGTGTGAATATTTGAAAAAAATCAATTGACAGCATTCATTATTCATTCTCTCAAATCAAAGTTTAGTTTGGCATTCACGTTCTTCTTTGGAGCTGGTAGTTACATTTAAAGACATTTAAAGGTCCTATAATTAGCTTTTTCTTAATTTTTCAGACAGTCCATTCTAAGCACATGAGTGGTAATCATTTTGGTGATACACTGTACAACATTCATGAATTAGAGCCATTTCTTGCATAGAGGTGATGTCAACTTGGGATTGCCATTTTGAGACACAATTAAAGTTTATGCAAATAACGTGAACGGCTGAAATCCCAATAGTTCAGTGTTTTACAACGAGGTGCAGCATGACTATAGTGGTGGAGCTGAAGTTGGCTGGATAACTCTGTGAAAGTGCCTCAATGTACAGTTTGTATTAGCGAGGCAGAGGGCCACATAGAACGAAACGGTGGGCCGCGTTTGGCACTCGGGCCTTGGCTTGGACATGTCAGCCATAGACTATAAATGGTATAAACACTCCGCTTTTTGGCTTTTACCGGATTATGGTAATTTCAGACCTGAGAAAAAACTTTTACCGACATGGAAAGTCCGTCACGTCGAGCCCCGTGTCGTCGATCCAGACTAAGACCCTAATTATTTAGTTTACGTTAGCATACGGTGGGTTAGCATCAGTCCTCGTTAGTGTCTTTTATTGTCTCTCTCTGGTCTCTCTGGTCTCTGGTTTCTCTCTCTGAGCTCTCTCTCTGATCTCTCTCTGGTCTCACTCTGGTCTCTCTCTGGTCTCTCTCTGGTCTCTCTCTCTGGTCTCTCTCTGGTCCCTCTCTCTGGTCTCTCTCTCTGGTCTCTCTCTCTGGTCTTTCTCTCTGGTCTCTCTCTCTGGTCTCACTCTCTGGTCTCTCCCTGTGGTCTCTCTCTCTGGTCTCTCTCTCTGGTCTCACTCTCTGGTCTCTCTCTGGTCTCTCCCTGTGGTCTCTCTCTCTGGTCTCTCTCTCTGGTCTCTCTCTCTGGTCTCACTCTCTGGTCTCTCTCTGGTCTCTCCCTGTGGTCTCTCTCTCTGGTCTCTCTCTCTGGTCTCTCTCTCTGGTCTCACTCTCTGGTCTCTCTCTGGTCTCTCTCTCTGGTCTCTCTCTCTGGTCTCACTCTCTGGTCTCTCTCTGGTCTCTCTCTCTGGTCTCTCTCTCTGGTCTCACTCTCTGGTCTCTCTCTGGTCTCTCTCTCTGGTCTCTCTCTCTGGTCTCACTCTCTGGTCTCTATGACAGTCTCCAGCCAATTAGCATAGTATGTAAATTATTAAGTCATAAAGTCATATCTCACCTGGATATGATCTCACTGTCACCAGCTGATCGAGGCCCCTGGTTGTACAGTACAGTAGAGTATATCTCCCCCATCTCCCCCCTCTCTCCCCCCCTCCCCCTCTGTCTCTCCTGACCCTGCATCAGTGGGTTAATAACCAGCCGCACAGAAAACCATTTGTCATGAGCTCCGTGCGGCTGATACCAGGTGTCAGCGACGGCTCTGCCCTTGTCACCGAGCCCCGTGACAAATACCGCATCACACCCATGATCTCGGGTCTCCTAAGGCTCCTCACTTCCCCTCTGCAGAAGAAGCTAGCATAAAAACCCTAGCTTTAGCATAATATAGAAGCTAGCATAAAAACCTTGGGCCTCATTCACGAACGGTTCTTAGGAACAGATTTGTACGTAAATCCTACTTACGCGGTTTTTACGAAGAAAGTGGCATTCACGAATATTTCTCGTAACCAGAATTTCTCTTGGGCAAGTACAAATCCTACGAGTCCTCAGGAGCACTCGTACGCATTCAGTGCCAACATGTTCACACGCCGGGGTTGTCCTCTTTGGTGAAGTTGAATAAAAATACAACATTCCAGTGATATGTCCGTCGTATTTATTTATTTGTAGTAATCTTTATTAGTAATCTTTATTTATATACCGCCTTTTTCACTGCAGATCTGGCCTACTTTTTAATTCATTTTGAAATGAAATGTGCCAACGCTTTATCAAATACATTGGAAATCTTGCCGTGTATTAGTGACCCCTTCCTATTTATTGGGGGCATTTCTTTATCCACGGGCCACAGAACAACGGCATATATACTGCTGCTGCAGGAGGCTGCTGGATCCGCGCTGAGTCTCTGCACTGGTCTCTCCTATGGATCTATACGGGTCTGCACTGGTCTCTCCCATGGATCTATACGGGTCTGCACTGGTCTCTCCCATGGATCTATACGGGTCTGCACTGGTCTCTCCCATGGATCTATACGGGTCTGCACTGGTCTCTCCCATGGATCTAGACAGGTCTGCACTGGTCTCTCCCATGGATCTAGACAGGTCTGCACTGGTCTCTCCCATGGATCTATACGGGTCTGCACTGGTCTCTCCCATGGATCTATACGGGTCTGCACTGGTCTCTCCCATGGATCTATACGGGTCTGCACTGGTCTCTCCCATGGATCTATACGGGTCTGCACTGGTCTCTCCCATATACGGGTCTGCACTGGTCTCTCCATACGGGTCCGTGCTTCATGCTCCTGGATCCATACGGGTCCGCGCTGGTCTCTCAAGTCTGGTCTATGCGGTCTATCTTCGGTCCGCGCTGGTCTCTGCGCACCGGTCTCTCCAGTCAGGTCACTCCAGTCTATGCGGTCTCTCCTATAGGTCCGCGCTGGTTTCTGTGTGCTGGTCACTCCAGTCTCTCCTCGGGTCTGCATTGGTCTCAGCGCTGGTCCGCGCTGGATCTCCTCCCAGGGTCCAAAATATTTTGAGATTAATCTCAAAACATTTTGAGATTCATCTTTAAAATAATACATAATATATTTTTAAATTAAGCTCATAACATTTTGAGATTAATCTCATCATATACTTAGATTAATCTCATAATTTTGCTAGTTCGACTTTATTATCATAATATTTCGACTTTTAAGTCAACATTTTATAACTTTATTCTCAGTCTGGTAAAAGAAGAAAAAAGGCCTGCTAGGCCTTTTGCTGTTTCCTCAGCCGTCTGCACACGGCCCTGCAGTCCCTTATATGGGCATTAATGGGCGGTTACTTATGCTAAGTACCTATGCTAATGAAGCACCTGGCACGCGCGCTGTACTTACGAGGAAATGGGATTCATCAATCTGAGAGAACAGCTGCGAACAATTCAGCGGCTTACGAGTGCGTTGATGAATCCCACGTAGGGATTTCTTAGAAATCTACTTAAGGACAACTTGAGAAGAAAGTTGAGTAGTTTCTTACGAAGTTATTCGTGAATGAGGCCCCTTGTCTTTAGCATAATAAAGAAGCTAGTATGAAATCTCTAGCTTTAGCATAATAAAGAAGCTACCATAAAAGCTCTAGCTTTAGCATAATAAAGAAGCTAGTATAAAATCTCTAGCTTTAGCATAATAAATTTGACTCTTTCTGATCATTTATTTACTGTCATCGTTTATTATGAAATTATCTTTCACTTTTGAAATGTGAGTTTTACCTTTTAACATATTTTCCACCGGAAAATATAAACTGTTATCATAGCAACACACTGTTTACTGTCTGTCTCTGGTCTCTCTCTGGTCTCTCTCTGGTCTCTCTCTGGTCTCTCTCTGGTCTCTCTCTGGTCTCTCTCTAATCCCTGTCTCTGGTCTCTCTCTGGTCTCTCTCTAATCCCTGTCTCTGGTCTCTCTCTGGTCTCTCTCTGGTCTCTCTCTGGTCTCTCTCTAGTCCCTCTCTCTGGTCTCTCTCTGGTCCCTCTCTCTGGTCTCTCTCTGGTCTCTCTCTGGTCTCTCTCCGGTCTCTCTCTAGTCTCTCTCTGGTCCCTCTCTAGTCTCTCTCTGGTCTCACTCTCTGGTCTCTCTCCGGTCTCTCTCTGGTCTCTCTCTAGTCCCTCTCTGGTCTCTCTCTCTCTGGTCTCTCTCTGGTCTCTCTCTGGTCTCTCTCCGGTCTCTCTCTAGTCTCTCTCTGGTCCCTCTCTAGTCTCTCTCTGGTCTCACTCTCTGGTCTCTCTCCGGTCTCTCTCTGGTCTCTCTCTAGTCTCTCTCTGGTCTCTCTCTCTCTTGTCTCTCTCTTGTCTCTCTCTTGTCTCTCTCTTGTCTCTCTCTGGTCTCTCTCTGGTCTCTCTCTGGTCTCTCTCTGGTCTCTCTCTGGTCTCTCTCTGGTCTCTCTCTGGTCTCTCTCTCTGGTCTCTCTCTCTGGTCTCTCTCTGGTCTCTCTCTGGTCTCTCTCTCTGGTCTCTCTCTCTGGTCTCTCTCTGGTCTCTCTCTGGTCTCACTCTCCGGTCTCTCTTTAGTCTCTCTCTCTATTTAGCAACACACTGTTTAGCATGAGCATGACCTTTTTTCTTTATTTTTCAGTTGCAGTTTTAATGACCAGTTTTAGCACTTATTAAAAATAAGTAAAGGTTAAAAAGAAGAACCTGATAAATAACTTTTTTTAATGAATCTGGTGAAAAACTGAACCTTAGGGCCCACTGGTTTAACTGGGAACAGACGGCTTTGGGAGTCCATGCTGTGTGTCCTGAGGCTCCTCCCTCCGCAGCACCTCCTCTCCTCCCTCCGCAGCACCTCCTCCCTCCGCAGCACCTCCTCCCTCCGCAGCACCTCCTCCCTCCGCGGCACCTCCTCTCTCCGCGGCACCTCCTCCCTCCGCGGCACCTCCTCCCTCCGCGGCACCTCCTCCCTCCGCAGCACCTCCTCCCTCCGCAGCACATCCTCCCTCCGCAGCACCTCCTCCCTCCGCAGCACATCCTCCCTCCGCAGCACATCCTCCCTCCGCAGCACCTCCTCCCTCCGCAGCACCTCCTCCCTCCGCAGCACCTCCTCCCTCCGCAGCACCTCCTCCCTCCGCGGCACCTCCTCCCTCCGCGGTACCTCCTCCCTCCGCGGCACCTCCTCCCTCCGCGGCACCTCCTCCCTCCGCAGCACCTCCTCCCTCCGCAGCACCTCCTCCCTCCGCAGCACCTCCTCCCTCCGCGGCACCTCCTCCCTCCGCGGCACCTCCTCCCTCCGCGGTACCCTCCTCCCTCCGCGGCACCTCCTCCTTCCGCGGCACCTCCTCTCTCCGCGGCACCTCCTCCCTCCGCGGCACCTCCTCCCTCCGCGGCACCTCCTCCCTCCGCAGCACCTCCTCCCTCCGCAGCACATCCTCCCTCCGCAGCACATCCTCCCTCCGCAGCACCTCCTCCCTCCGCAGCACCTCCTCCCTCCGCAGCACCTCCTCCCTCCGCGGCACCTCCTCCCTCCGCGGCACCTCCTCCCTCCGCGGTACCTCCTCCCTCCGCGGCACCTCCTCCCTCCGCGGCACCTCCTCTCTCCGCGGCACCTCCTCCCTCCGGCACCTCCTCCCTCCGCGGCACCTCCTCCCCCCGCGGCACCTCCTCCCTCCGCGGCACCTCCTCCCTCCGCGGCACCTCCTCCCTCCGCGGCACCTCCTCCCTCCGCGGCACCTCCTCCCTCCGCAGCACCTCCTCCCTCCGCGGCACCTCCTCCCTCCGCGGCACCTCCTCCCTCCGCGGCACCTCCTCCCTCCGCGGCACCTCCTCCCTCCGCGGCACCTTCTCTCTCTCGCTGATCTCTCTCTGGTCTCTCTCTGTCTGGTCTTACGTACATCTATCACTCTTTGTCTCTCTTTCACAGAGATGTCTGGGAAGGTGGGGGAGATCGCTCTCTGGTCTCTCTAGTCTCTCTCTGGTCTCACTCTATGGTCTCTCCCTCTGGTCTCACTCTAATCTCTCTGGCCTCTCTCTGGACTCTCTCTCTCTGGTCTCTCTCTGGTCCTTCTCTGGACTCTCTCTCTCTCTGGTCTCTCTCTCTGGTCTCTTGCACACCTATAACCCTTGTGTCTCTCTTGGTCCCCCAGTGATGTCTAGGACGGTGGAGGACATCTCTCTCTCTCTGGTCTCTTGCTGGTCTCTCTCTGGTCTCTCTCTGGTCCCGCTCTGGTCTCACTCCGGTCTCACCCTTGTCTCTCCTGGTCCCGCAGAGATGTCTGGGACGGTGGAGGAGATCTCGCTGGTGCACTGGAAGCAGCAGTGGCTGGAGAACGGGACGCTATTCTTCCACGTGACGTTGACTGAGTCGGAGCTGCCTCCTGAGGCCACGCCCCCTTCTGCCCGAGAGCCCGCCCACGTGCACGAGCACATGCACCTGCTGCACATCTCTGTCATGGTGAGTCACGGCTACGACGCTAGCTTCCCGCACTTTACACATCAGCATTGGCAGAGAGAGAAAAGCCCGTTATCACAAAGTCCAGGACACTCTAAAGTCTGTCTTTGAAGCGTGAGATTTTATTCCATTTCAGAGGAAAAAATGAATGTGGTTTGAATGAATTATTGGGGCCAAGTGCAAAAAAGATTGTTATTCTTCCAAAAATAGGTTGTTTTGCTTGTCACTCAAAACATGCTTTCACAGATAGATGGATAGATAGAAAAGACCGCAGTAAAGTGCTTCCATTTGCAGCGTCACTGACAATCTGTGCTTTTTATATTTAAGGTTATATCTCTGTAGAAGTCTTGGGTCTTAAGATGAATGCCTCCGACTGCACTGTGCGACTCTTTAGGACCCAGCAGTGACTCTTTAGGACCCAGCAGTTACTCTTTAGGACCCAGCGGTGACTCTTTAGGACCCAGCAGTGACTCTTTAGGACCCAGCAGTTACTCTTTAGGACCCAGCGGTGACTCTTTAGGACCCAGCAGTGACTCTTTAGGACCCAGCGGTGACTCTTTAGGACCCAGCAGTGACTCTTTAGGACCCAGCAGTGACTCTTTAGGACCCAGCAGTGACTCTTTATGACCCAGCAGTGACTCTTTAGGACCCAGCAGTGACTCTTTAGAACCCAGCAGTGACTCTTTAGGACCCAGCAGTGACTTTTTAGGACCCAGCAGTGACTCTTTAGGACCCAGCGGTGACTCTTTAGGACCCAGCGGTGACTCTTTAGGACCCAGCAGTGACTCTTTAGGACCCAGCAGTGACTCTTTAGGACCCAGCAGTGACTCTTTAGGACCCAGCAGCAGTGACTCTTTAGGACCCAGCAGTGACTCTTTACGACCCAGCAGTGACTCTTTAGGACCCAGCATGACTCTTTAGGACCCAGCAGAGAGTTTGGTTGATATGATTGTGTCTTGGAGGTTGGATTTTACAGTGTGTGCAAGGCTTTTGACAGCTGCAGCAGCACTCAGACTTATAACCAACAGGTTTGATATCTTTGCTCTCTCTCGCCTTCTATGGTCTCCCCCTTTGATGTCTCTCTTTTTTCCCTCTCTCTCTGCTCTCTCTCTGCTCCCTCCTCCCTCACCTCCATCCTTCCTCTCTCCTCCCTCACCTCCCTCCTCTCTCCTCCCTCACCTCCATCCTCCCTCCTCCCTCACCTCCATCCTCCCTCTTCCCTCCCTCACCTCCATCCTCCATCCTCCCTCTCTCTTCCCTCACCTCCATCCTCCCTCCTCCCTCTCTCCTCCCTCACCTCCCTCCTCCCTCCTCCCTCCCTCCATCCTCCCTCACTCCATCCTCCCTCCCTCCATCCTCCCTCCTCCATCCTCCCACCTCCATCCTCCTCTTCTCTCTCTCCCTCCCTCCATCCTCCTCCCCCATCCTCCCTCCTCTCTCCTCCCTCCCTCACCTCCCTCCTCCCTCCTCCCTTACCTCCATCCTCCCTCACCTCCATCCTCCCTCACCTCCATCCTCCCTCACCTCCATCCTCCCACCTCCATCCTCCCTCTTCCCTCTCTCTCCTCCCTCACCTCCATCCTCCCTCACCTCCCTCACCTCCATCCTCCCTCTCCTCCCTCACCTCCATCCTCCCTCTCCTCCCTCACCTCCATCCTCCCTCCTCCCTCTCTCCTCCCTCACCTCCATCCTCCCTCACCTCCATCCTCCCTCACCTCCATCCTCCCTCTTCCCTCTCTCTCCTCCCTCACCTCCATCCTCCCTCTCCTCCCTCACCTCCATCCTCCCTCACCTCCCTCACCTCCATCCTCCCTCTCCTCCCTCACCTCCTCCCTCCCACTTCCCTCACCTCCATCCTCCCTCTTCCCTCACCTATACAATACAATACAATACAATACAATGTATTCTTGTATAGCCCTAGGTCACAACAGAAGTCATCTCAGAGACTTAACAAAACCATTGAAATCACCAACACAGGTCAGAGAATCAACAGTTAACACATGGAGAATATAAAGCACACACAGAAGAAAATGTCCATACATGTTGTAGAATGCTAAAGTGTCCTGATCATCACCAATCCTTTCTGTTGGACACTAACTGTCCAACAAGACCCTCCTGCATCGACAAGGAAAAACTCTTAAAAAACCCAGTGGGAAAAAGTGAGAAACCTTGGGGAGCACTAGGGAAACCCACAGGGAGGGAGACCCATATGAGAAAGGGATCCGCTCCTCCGGACGGACAGACTAATGATCCAGGACCTAAGCTAGCTACAGAACGTGGACCAGTGGACGCTGAACGTGGACAGGTCCGTCACCTCCATCCTCCCTCTTCCCTCACCTCCCTCCTCCCTCACCTCCATTCTCCCTCCTCCCTCACCTTCCTCCTCTCTCCTCCCTCACCTCCATCCTCCCTCTTCCCTCACCTCCCTCCTCCCTCACCTCCATTCTCCCTCCTCCCTCACCTTCCTCCTCCCTCTTCCCTCACCTCCATCCTCCCTCTTCCCTCACCTCCATCCTCCCTCTTCCCTCACCTCCCTCCTCCCTCACCTCCATTCTCCCTCCTCCCTCACCTTCCTCCTCTCTCCTCCCTCACCTCCATCCTCCCTCACCTCCCTCCTCCCTCACCTCCCTCCTCCCTCCTCCCTCACCTCCATCCTCCCACTCTCCTCCCTCTCTCCTCCCTCACCTCCATCCTCCCTCACCTCTCTCCTCCCTCACCTCTCTCTACCCTCACCTCCATCCTCCCTCACCTCTCACCTCCCTCACCTCCCTCTTCCCTCCTCCCTCACCTCCCTCACCTCCCACCTCCCTCCTCCCTCACATGCGTGCTTCATCACAGACAGTATTGAATCTTCCTCTCCTCCCTCACCTCCCTCCTCCCTCACCTCCATCCTCCCACTCTCCTCCCTCACCTCCCTCTTCCCTCCTCCCTCACCTCCCTCCTCCCTCCCTCACCTCCCTCCTCTCCTCACCTCCCTCTTCCCTCCTCCCTCACCTCCCTCCTCCCTCCTCCCTCACATGCGTGCTTCATCACAGACAGTATTGAATCTTCCTCTCCTCCCTCACCTCCCTCCTCCTCCCTCCCCCCTCACCTCCATCCTCCCACTCTCCTCCCTCACCTCCCTCCTCCCTCACCTCCCTCTTCCCTCCTCCCTCACCTCCCTCCTCCCTCACCTCCCTCCTCCCTCACCTCCCTCTTCCCTCCTCCCTCACCTCCCTCCTCCCTCCTCCCTCCTCCCTCACATGCGTGCTTCATCACAGACAGTATTGAATCTTCCTCTCAGCCTTCACCCGTCTCTGGGCTCTCTGACTGAACATTATTATGGGATGTCAGACCGTGGCGCCCGTTAAACTTCCACCATTGAGCCGTCACTTCCCCAACTCTCCCGTGGCCGTCCCCGCTCGCCATCTGCACTTTTCAGCCTGACGTCTCACACTGGACACACATGCACGGCTGAGACACTGAACATAGCCTCTGATTGACTTCTGAAAGGAGACGTTTCTTTTCAGACGGCGGAAAACCTCACCCAAAGATCAAAGCCCGCGCGGTTTAATGGAATGAATGAGCGTCAATAATTTGTGTGGGATTATTCTTGGAGGATTTGTTCTTTTTTGAGTGCTTTTCTCAAGCCGTGTTACAGTCTGCAGAGAGAGAATCCCCAAACACAGAGGCAGGAGACAGGACAAGTTCATTTTAAACACAAGCAGGAAGTGACGGCAGAGACAGAGACCAGATCTGAGGACTGTACTTTCTGCACTGTGAGGGGAATCTGTTTGGTCCACATATAAGCCTCACCTGAATATAAGCCACAGGTTTTTAATGGTCTGATGCAGCAGAGAGAGTACATCACAACAAGACTCATTGAGGAGTGAGGAGTTACTACTTTTCCACTTTTCCACTGTAAACAAAAGGGCCGAGTGCATCCGCTCATTGGACAAACATTTATTTGATTAAAAGGCAACGCAAATGTTTTTCTTTTAATCATTAATGAGGCCTTTGGCATAGGGACTATAGGTACTGGTGGTGGCATAGGGACCTATAGGTACTGGTGGTGGCATAGGGACTATAGGTACTGGTGGTGGCATAGGACCTATAGGTACTGGTGGTGGCATAGGGACTATAGGTACTGGTGGTGGCATAGGGACTATAGGTACTGGTGGTGGCATAGGGACTATAGGTACTGGTGGTGGCATAGGGACTATAGGTACTGGTGGTGGCATAGGGACTATAGGTACTGGTGGTGGCATAGGGACTACAGGTACTGGTGGTGGCATAGGGACTATAGGTACTGGTGGTGGCATAGGGACTATAGGTACTGGTGGTGGCATAGGGACTATAGGTACTGGTGGTGGCATAGGGACTATAGGTACTGGTGGTGGCATAGGGACTATAGGTACTGGTGGTGGCATAGGACCTATAGGTACGGGTGGTGGCATAGGACCTATAGGTACGGGTGGTGGCATAGGGACTATAGGTACTGATGGTGGCATAGGGACTACAGGTACTGGTGGTGGCATAGGGACTATAGGTACGGGTGGTGGCATAGGGACTATAGGTACGGGTGGTGGCATAGGGACCTATAGGTACTGGTGGTGGCATAGGGACTATAGGTACTGGTGGTGGCATAGGGACTATAGGTACTGGTGGTGGCATAGGGACTACAGGTACTGGTGGTGGCATAGGGACTACAGGTACTGGTGGTGGCATAGGGACTATAGGTACGGGTGGTGGCATAGGGACTATAGGTACGGGTGGTGGCATAGGGACCTATAGGTACTGGTGGTGGCATAGGGACTATAGGTACTGGTGGTGGCATAGGGACTATAGGTACTGGTGGTGGCATAGGGACTATAGGTACGGGTGGTGGCATAGGGACCTATAGGTACTGGTGGTGGCATAGGGACTATAGGTACGGGTGGTGGCATAGGGACTATAGGTACTGGTGGTGGCATAGGGACTATAGGTACTGGTGGTGGCATAGGGACTACAGGTACTGGTGGTGGCATAGGGACTACAGGTACTGGTGGTGGCATAGGGACTATAGGTACTGGTGGTGGCATAGGGACTATAGGTACTGGTGGTGGCATAGGGACTATAGGTACTGGACATGAATTATAGGGCCTGTACTGGAGTTTGGGTTCACGTCCCTCTTCCAGTCGTCCATGAAGCCTTCACAATATATAATCATCTTTCTTCTTCTTCTTCGGCTGCTGCTGCGACTCACGGTGACGCTGAGAGAGCGTTGGTAGAAATATAAATGAACCATAAATGCCTTTGTCCTCATTAGAAAACCAGGCGGTGATTTTAAAATTTGGACGTCTCGCTCTAGTCTCTCTCCGGTCTCACTGGTCTCTCTTTGGTCTCTTACTGGTCTCTCTAGTCCCTCGGGTCTCTCTCTGGTCTATCTCTGGTCTATCTCTGGTCTATCTCTGGTCTATCTCTGGTCTATCCCTGGTCTATCTCTGGTCTATCTCTGGTCTTTCTCTGGTTTCTCTGGTCTCTCTCTCTGGTCTCTCTCTGGTCTCTCTCTGGTCTCTCTCTGGACTCTCTCTGGTCTCTCTCTGGTCTCTCGCTGGTTTCTCTCTAGTCTCTGTTTTCTGTTTTCTCTTTCTTGCTTGTGTCTCTCTACTCTCTCTGGTTTCTCTGGTCTCTCTCTGGTCTCTCTCTGGTCTCTCTCTGGTCTCTCTCTGGACTCTCTCTGGACTCTCTCTGGGTCTCTCTGGTCTCTCTCTGGTCTCTCTCTGGTCTCTTTCTGGTCTCTTTCTGGTCTCTCTCTGGTTTCTCTGGTCTCTCTCTGGTCTCTTTCTGGTCTCTCTGGTCTCTCTCTGGTCTCTGGTCTCTCTCTGGTCTCTGCTCTCTCTCTGGTCTCTCTCTGGTCTCTCTCTGGTCTCTCTCTGGACTCTCTCTGGTCTCTCTCTGGTCTCTGCTCTCTCTCTGGTCTCTCTCTGGTCTCTCTCTGGTCTCTCTCTGGTCTCTCTCTGGTCTCTCTCTGGTGTCTCTCTGGTCTCTCTCTGGACTCTCTCTGGTCTCTCTCTGGTCTCTCTGGTCTCTCTCTGGTCTCTGCTCTCTCTCTGGTCTCTCTCTCTGGTCTCTCTCTGGTCTCTCTCTGGTCTCTCTGGTCCAGTTATTATGTATCATCTTTGTCCTAATTAGAAAACCAGGCTGTGATTTTTAGATTCCGACGGCGTTGGTTTCTCTGTGAAAATGACAGAAAGTAAAAAAGTCCTGACAAACGGCGGCTGCGGTTCAGGCGGAGGACAGGTGGTGTTTTATTGAAATGAGCCGCTGTAAAAGCCGACACTTCGCAGACGTATTGTGCAGCGTTGAAGAATATTATCATCTTTTTCTGCAGATATTGAAGTCCGCGGCACAACAGCGAATCGGTCGTTACTGAAGTCGGGAAATGTAATAAAAGAAAATGGGAAAGAAGCATGAGGTTCAATATGAGCTCATCCTGGAGGAAGAGAAACCTTTCATTCTGTAAAGATACAGTACAGAGCAGAGAGTAGAGAGGAAGGTCTCTCTCTCTCTAAGAAGTCCCTCTCTCTCTGGTCTCTCTCTAACAGTCACAGTATCAGTTTCTCTGTCTGTGTTTGAACATCAGAGACTCACACTGAGCTCTTCTCAACAGTCGTGTGAACTCAAAAAAACAGTAATGAGACGGAGAGATTTTATTGGTAAAAGAAAAGCCCTGTTTCCATATAGCTCCCCTCCCTCACCTATGGTCATGAGGGAGCAGCGTCTGCAGTCAGAGCTCCCCTCCCTCACCTATGGTCATGAGCTTTGGGTAATGACTGAAAGAACGAGATCGTGGATACAAGCGGTCGAAATGAGCTTCCTCCGCAGAGTGGCTGCTCCCTTAGAGATAGGGTGAGGAGCTCGGTCACACGGGAGGAGCTCGGAGTAGAGCCGCTGCTTCTCCACGTCGAGAGGAACCAGTTGAGGTGGCTCGGGCAACTGTTCCGGATGCCTCCTGGACGCCTCCCTGGGGAGGTGTTCTGGGCACGTCCCACCGGGAGGAGGCCCCGGGGAAGACCCAGGACACGCTGGAGGGACTATGTCTCTCAGCTGGCCTGGGAACGCCTTGGGGTCCCCCTGGATGAAGCGGAAGAAAATGGATGGATGGATTAATAATAAGTTTGTGTAAGCTCTCAGTCGTACAGGGATTAGTCAAAGCAAAGGAAGGTTCCTCACCATCATCTGTATTTCTGCAGGTTTTCCCGATGTTTCGTCCTTAATCCAAAGAACTTTTTCAAGGGAATGAAATCTCTAAAGTCTGTTCTGATCTTTTCTCTTCTGTCTTTATGTAATTGTCGTTAACATCGGGGACAGTTTCAAAGTTGTAAGAGTTTAAAAACCATCAGAAAATGTGTGTCCTTCATAAATGTAGTGTATTTTCACAGTAAGTGCAGAGTTGTGGGCGCTCTCGGAGACAGAGGTGACCGCGGCTCCAGGGGCCTCTCTAAATGGGATCATGTCTCAGGGGACGCTCCCTGTTCCAGGCCTGTGTTGATAAAGGTTGTGTCGTTAGAATATATTTCCCTTTACTTTGTGTTGCTTTTGAAAGAGAAACACACACTGTGCCCTGTGTGTGCGATAGGACAATGAGAAACTCAAATGTTGTGACTTAAACCTCTGACGTGATGTTGTCCCGTCCTTCAGACTGGGACTGAGTGAGGCGGCTGTGAAGGGCCCTACACTGTTTTGTGCCCCATGGCAAGACACTTCAGCCACGTGTGTGTGTGTGTGTGTGTGTGTGGGTGTGTGTGTGGGTGTGGGTGTGGGGGTGGGCGGGTGGGTGGGAGGAGTTCTTTGACGGTCCAGAAAGCGTGAGATTAAGCCATTGTGGTTGTTTCTGTTCATTCTAGACCCAAAGCAGAGAGACATACACAGAGTCAAATTGTCAGTAACAGAATATATTTCAACAGAAGAAGCATTGACATTAATTCACTGACCGAAAGGTTGTGTCCTTGGGCAAGACACTGAACCCCCGCTGAAAGAAAGAGGACAATGGATGGATGAGTTTTATTTTGTTTTCTCGTTGGGCCAAATGTTTAGAAGAGATGTAAGTTAACTATGAAAATACATTTCTTTGGCCGAATCTTTCCAAACCTGTGCCAGTGTAAATATGTCTGAAATGAAGTTCTGCAGGTCTGAAATAAATCAAACTAACCAACAAACTTCTATCTATTTAGTTAAATGATGTGGTTGTTTTGCCCCAAAGTACAACATGCCACAGTATCTCATGACCATCAATGAACTGCAGAAATGGGGAAAATCCATAAAAAACTATTATTATTCAACAAATGGGGAAACAGTCTTCCCTCTTACTCCAGAGGTCTCCCATCACAGCACTAACCAGGCCCTGTCCTGCTTCCAAATGCAGGTATGACCACAGTTATACCTGTCGCTGCCCTCTGCCCGGTCGCCCTTGTCTCATGAGAATCGCTTCATAACGGACCTTGTTTTTCACGACGTCGACGGTTTTTACAACATTAACTCGGTACAAACACATCTAATGTTCAGGACCACAGACAGCTTCAGGACCACGGACAGCTCCAGGACCACGGACAGCTCCAGGACCACGGACAGCTCCAGGACCACGGACAGCTCCAGCGCCACGGACAGCTCCAGGGCCACGGACAGCTCCAGGGCCACGGACAGCTCCAGGGCCACGGACAGCTCCAGGGCCACGGACAGCTCCAGGGCCACGGACAGCTCCAGGGCCACGGACAGCTCCACGGCCACGGACAGCTCCACGGCCACGGACAGCTCCACGGCCACGGACAGCTCCAGGGCCACGGACAGCTCCACGGCCACGGACAGCTCCAGGGCCACGGACAGCTCCAGGGCCACGGACAGCTCCAGGGCCACGGACAGCTCCAGGGCCACGGACAGCTCCAGGGCCACGGACAACTCCAGGGCCACGGAGGGCCACGGACAGCTCCAGGGCCACGGACAGCTCCGGGGCCACGGACAGCTCCGGGGCCACGGACAGCTCCAGGACCACGGACAGCTCCGGGGCCACGGACAGCTCCAGGACCACGGACAGCTCCATCGGTTTCTTGAGACCAGAGCAGAGACCAAAACAAAGATCAGTCGCGACGCTCACCTGATCCTCTCACATGTCTCTCTCCTCTTTCTTCTTCCTCTTCTCCTCCTCCTCCTCATTCTTGTTCTTGTTGTTCTTCTCCTTCTCCTCCTCCTTCTTGTTCTTGTTGTTCTTCTCCTTCTCCTCCTTCTTGTTCTTTCTTCTCCTCCTCCTCTTCTTCTTCTCCTTCTCCTCCTCCTTCTTGTTCTTCTTCTTCCTTGTCTTCTCCTCCTCCTCCTCTTCTAGTTCTTTTTCTTCTCCTCCTCTTCTTCTCCTTCTCCTCCTCCTTCTTGTTCTTGTTGTTCTTTTTTTTCTCCTCCTCTTCTTCTTGTTGTTCTTCTCCTTCTCCTCCTCTTCTTCTTGCTCTTCTCTTCGTCTTCGTCTTGCTTCTCTATCTTCTCTGTTGCCCGGGTAACAGTTACCGATAGAGACCGGCGTTTCAGGAAACAAAAGAAAAGGTGAAAGGGAGACAAATATTGGATAAGTGTGTCGGTGCACATGAGAGCGGACGGCAGTGTTAACAAACAGCTGGAGACGTGTGAGGAGGAGGAGGGTTAGGAGGAGGAGGAGGAGGAGGAGGAGGAGGAGGAGGAGGAGGGGCTGATGGCACAGACTGGTTGCCTCGCTTCTGTCAGTGTGCCCCAGGGCAGCCGTGGCTACTGTAGTAGTTAGTCACCTGTTTTTGGAGTGAAAGAGTGATGACATGTGAAGCTTCTTTGAGGGCGACAGTAGCTCAGTCGGTAGAGTATTGGACTTTGAGCCGGAAGGTTGTGGGTTCGAGCCCATCACGGGACCTACTTTAACTTCTCCCACTGTCTGCTGTCGTTGTGTCCTTGGGAAAGACACTTAACCCCACTCTGCCTGAAGCTCGCGCTGAAACACCAAGACTGTGGCACCACTGACAGAGCAGCCCCCCCTGCAGAGGATCAGAGGGACTGGTGCTTTGAGCTTTGGGTGCAGCTCTCATTGCCCCCCCCCCCCCCCCCCCCATCCTAACCCCGACCCAGAAATGGACTGATAAAGAGGTAGAATATGAATGAATGAATGAGTGAAGCCCCTTTGGGAGTCACTGTTATTGTGTCCTTTCTCTGTAAGCTCCTGATTGGCTGTGTGCAGTGACAGACCCCGCCCTGCCTGTGCTTCCGTCTCTCTCCTAGCTTAAACACGCCGTTGGGAATTAGCCAATACCATCGCATACTTAAAGCAGCAGTAAGCGATTTTTGGGTGTTAATATACGTCTTAAATATTGATATATTCCAATAGCCATCACTTAGAGTGTTTGTACCTAAACACGGATCTCTCAGTCCTTCCAGTCTTCTCACACCTATATAATAAAAAAACCTCACATCCTATGCGCTTATCCAATGACGAGAGAGCACGCCTTATAAGGGGTTTCTCCCGTGTGTGCACGCGCACTCTTCAAAACAAACATGGCGGAGAAGGAAAAGCCGCCTCCAGCGCTGCTGCAGACTAAATACCATGGATTTATTAAATACAGGCAAAACGCCAGAAACAGAGGAACGACAAAAAGTAGGAGCAACATGGTGACCAGCTGCATTCATGTTGGCGACCTCTAGCTCCGTGGATTCCTCTCTCCGACTGAACAGGTGAGCATGTTACTCAGTAGTGGCAGTAGTAGTTGTATTATTTATACATATTGTTGCCTGAGACTGTAATGCGGGCTTTCACCAAGTTAGCTAGTTAAAAATCCCCAGCTGTTGTAGAAATACGGCCGCATTTTGTGGCAATAACTGCGCATTACCTTGGCTTAGCTTTGAGAAACAACAACAGACAACACAACATCGAAGCCTTAGCCCAGCCTTAGTCATCCATAAACTCCGGTCAATTATTAGTTCCCCACATGTACAACATTAAATGACCATATCACCAGAGTTCCCCCGTGAAGTGGTGTTAGCATTAGCGTTCGCTGTTAGCATTAGCGTTAGCTGTTAGCATTAGCGTTCGCTGTTAGCATTAGCGTTAGCTGTTAGCATTAGCGTTCGCTGTTAGCATTAGCGTTCGCTGTTAGCATTAGCGTTAGCTGTTAGCATTAGCGTTCGCTGTTAGCATTAGCGTTAGCTGTTAGCATTAGCGTTCGCTGTTAGCATTAGCGTTCGCTGTTAGCATTAGCGTTAGCTGTTAGCATTAGCGTTCGCTGTTAGCATTAGCGTTAGCTGTTAGCATTAGCGTTCGCTGTTAGCATTAGCGTTCGCTGTTAGCATTAGCGTTAGCTGTTAGCATTAGCGTTAGCTGTTAGCATTAGCGTTAGCTGTTAGCATTAGCGTTAGCTGTTAGCATTAGCGTTAGCTGTTAGCATTAGCTGTCTGTAGTTGTGAATATGATGTGGCTGCTACGATCACTTCTGATCTGTATGAATCGTTTGTTTTTGCCAATAAACATAGTTGCTTGCACTATATATATATATATATATATATATATATATATATATATATATATATATATATATATATATATATATATATATATATATATATATATATATATATATAATGTATATGTAGGTCTGCATTTCATTCTTCAATGACTAAGTTTTTCAACTTGCACTCTGTATATTAGTTTTATTGTTATAAAAACAATATCTCTTTACCTCAAATCTAACTTCCGTGACCACTACATACATTTTTATTATTATGTATTGAGAATAAGTAAGAAAAGTCTTGCTGACTACTACCAAATAAATTATGAGCATGATATAATATAGACATTGTAATAATTTACATGTCTTCATTGCATTCTTTTCTCTGTATCTTTTTCCAGTATGGCCTAAATCAATTGGAATGAGGTCTTCAATGTACAAGAGTTCAAAAGCCTCCATAATGCAAGTTAAATAACTATTTAAAAAAAAACCAATGCCATAACGACTAGATACTTTTCTGCTGACCTCTTCTTTCTCTAGTATTGACTGGGAAGACAAGACTTTGCTTCCAGAATTAGAAGATCGGCCATTGTCATCTCCTGAGGAAGACTTTACACCCCACATTTGTCATGTAGGTTGTTGTGAATGCATATATGGGACGCAGTGATTATGATAATGATGTTGTGATGTGTGTGTCGTTCACCCCTACAGTTGTGTTGCTGCCCTGAGGTCCAAAATGAATATCGATCATGTTCCAGGAGTCAGTGTTGACAAAACTGTCGCTGAGTTTCTTCAACAATCAAGAGGAGTGAGATAAATCACTCGACTCCCAAAACAGCCGATGTAAGTGTCTTTCTCTCACAATGCACAGTCTCTCACAGTCCAAATAAACATGTTCAAGGATCCTGTGGATCAGGGGCCACTCCTGGTGACCAATAAATACTGATGTTGTTGATGATGAATATATCAAAGTCATATTTGAGTAGATAAAACTGATGTCTCTTCTATTATGTTTCAAAGGAAAATCTCTGCCAGAGGAAGACTCCAGTTCCTTCAACCTGGGCCCCTGAAGCGTGGCTGTGTGTGCGTGTGACTGTGTGTGCGTGTGACTGTGTGTGCTTGTGGCTGTGTGTGCTTGTGACTGTGTGTGCTTGTGACTGTGTGTGCTTGTGACTGTGTGTGACTGTGTGTGCTTGTGACTGTGTGTGACTGTGTGTGCTTGTGACTGTGTGTGACTGTGTGTGACTGTGTGTGCTTGTGACTGTGTGTGACTGTGTGTGCTTGTGACTGTGTGTGCTTGTGACTGTGTGTGCTTGTGACTGTGTGTGCTTGTGACTGCTTGTGACTGTGTGTGCGTGGCTGCTTATGAATTATTTTGAGGAAATGTGTTCAAACAAGCTACAACATAAAGATTAACATTTTGTTAGATATCTCTGATAGTGTTCGCTGCAGCAGCGATGGATAAGGACCTGGATAATAACAGTGTTATTCATTTGAGCAAAAAGTGATAACACAAACGTTGCCTTACCATCACTTGTAATTATTTGTCTTAGTAGTGACATTGTGTATATTTTTCCGGCTATAACTTCAAATCTTCTTTTACATAATAAAGTTTCTTAGACTCGTTACAGACTGTATTTGTTTTCCTACTATAAAACAAAGCACATTGAAAGAGGTGTATGTATTTTTTTTATTTTGAAATAGTACAACTACAAACATATTTCAGAACTGCAGAGTGGACGTGCACCATGGGGGCCGCTGAGGACGTGCACCATGGGGGCCGCTGAGGACGTGCACCATGGGGGCCGCTGAGGAAAGCATGTTTTCAATGTCTGTTGGCACCTTTCACAGACGCATCAGGGAAAGGATCTAGTCATCAGCTTCTCTGGACAGAGGGCGTTCAGTGCTTCCTGAAAGAACCGTTATGACAAATGACTTTATATATTCTGTTACTTGTAGCTTTTCTTTCAAAGTGGTTTCCTTACAGTGTAATAGTGTAACGTAATTAGTTATGACAGTACTTTTGCGTTTCGGACAAGCTTTACTGGAATTGTTTTTCAGTCCCACATCTCACTGTACAGCTCTGATACACTTTGATTTTGTCTTCATTCTCTGAATAATAAGCACATAATACAGATGTTGATTACATCAATAAATGTATCTTTATTTTGTGACATTGAGAAGGCAGCTTCCAGTGAGATGCAGCTTTACTTTCACATAATACATTACTACAGTGTTGTCTATAAAGAACTCCAAATATACAAATTGTGAGGAAATAAGTAGCAGTAATGTATTACTTTAAATAACCTTCATGTAAAGCTTTGTTGTTGTAATGTATATGCATTACATTCATCTAATACATATGCACTGTAACAGATGTTACAGTGCATAATGTTGAGACACGTCACACTGCAATCTGCAACATTATGTTTATCACAACAGTTATCAGTGTACCAACTATAAAAGCAGTATTATTCTATAAAAGACTGGATTGTTTTTATCTCTTTCTTAGTGATGCTATCCTAGCTAACACCAAGCTGCTTCCAGTGTTATAGCTAGGTTACAACTAAGCTATTCTATGCTAATATTT